TGCACCCAATCTCGTCTCCAGTTTTCTTAACCCTGTCATGAAATGGGATCCTGGAGGATGAGAGAGCACCATTACACGAAGCAAAGGCGTCAGGCCTTGCAATTATGACTGTTAGCAACTGCTCCCTGCCAGACACAATGAAGTGGGGGTTTCGATCTCAGGCATATGCCATCTAATGCCGAGTCCATGAAAATCCTTCACAAGCGATTGTTTGTTGGTAATCGGGAGGAGAGTGTCTCGGGCAAAAGAGGGATCTGTTCAGATGACAACACGTTTGGATGACTGATTTATATGATTCGCTTCAAGCTTGATCTCGCTCTTAACCATCCCCTTGATTTCACCTCTGAAATTTAGCATCCCCTTTGTTCTTCTTAATTTTTACGCACGCTCTTCAGAACTTCTTACGATCGTCTGTCCCGTTTTTGTATTCAAGCTTCATAATTGCTCTCAATTTCTCATCGGTTTCTTTTAACATTAAAATTTCTGACCGACCTGTTAAACGGTGACTTCAATTCGCTTTGAAAAGCGGTCGGCAGAATACAATCGGTAGACATCAGGTCAAATTTAGTGGCTCTTGTACGTCCGTAAAACCAACCGCTAACCAATTCTTTTGCCTTTTAGGTGAACGCTACCTCATTAGTGCATTTCATCTCCTTAGCTTTTCCGACCAAGGTACGTTTTTCCCCTTTTTTGTTTTTCCCGTCAGTCTACCCTACATAATATGCACAAAACATGAGGCCTGCATACCACTACACCCCCATCATACAGCATCTAGCCACAGCATACACTTAGCCAGGAGTTTGAACAACAGGAAAAACGAGCAGTAACACAAAGCCCAATCCTTACGGCGTGGGTCTGCGTGTCAACACATCTTAACTTACATGGCCTGATTACACTTGGCTTGATAAACTCCTTGCTTTTGTTGCCCCCAGTATCTTGTTGCTTTTGTCAAAATCCCGGCCAAGCGTTTTATTTTGGACCAGCTAAGGCCTTAGCTGTTGTTTAGTTATTTTTAATTATTCAAGTTGATATCTCTCTTCCTCTGCTCTGGGTTGTGCAGAGGTGTACCCCACAAGCCGGCTGCATCAAGCTTATCCGAACTGCAGCTGCTACTGTTAATCTTTGCCAGGTGCGGGAACGAGCTTTCCTGCGTGTAGTGTCGCTTACGATTCCATCCCCCTTTGCTGAACACGCCGCACTTGCCCTGGTATCGCCCTGTTGCGCCGCCTTTTCATTTGAGATGACCCTTAAGTCTTTGTGCGCAGTTGCCTTGTCATACTCTTATCGATAGTTTCTGCCTTGGCAGTTGCACCTAGCTCCATGGAGTTCAAGATTTTAACTCGAATTAGCACAACTAATTTACTATATTTTTTATTCAGGTTTAAATTGTTGCGTATAGTGGACTATCGAACAGAGCAAAATAAGGATTTAAAACTACGATAAGTTCTAAAAGGTTCTTGTGCCGTAAAGTGGTACCGGTGACCATTTTTAGACTGACTTTAGATTCGGTACAGTATGTAATTCTAATCTGAGGCTGGTAAACCGATGTCCGTCTAAGTAAAGAACAGCCAGTACCTGAATTAACGAAGCAAGAGAACTTAGCGTTCCCCTATGGGTGCTCTTATAGCGAGGCAATGACAAATGCAGCCTATACTTGCAATAGGCAGTTCTTCACCTGCTGTACTAACATAAACACCTGGATTTTACTGAGGGCAGCTCTGACAATCGCGCTTGTGCTTACCTTCACTGAGGAATTTTGACCATATTTGTAGTATCGCAAACTTATCGTCCGAACTGGCTTACCTACGCAATTTCAAGAAAATGCCTAGAGCCAGTTTGTAGGGTGTCACAAGCGACCAACTGCCTTTAAATTAACTGCCTCTACCGTGCAGGTCAGCAGCACAGCGATGTTCTCTAGGGAGGAGTCTGTATCGTCCTCAGGGTGAATGACCGTCATGTACAGTAATATATGTAATACAGTAATACATGTATACTATACTATACTTTGTATAGTAATACTATGCCACTTCAAATGAGCAATGTCGACAATAATTTTGGCCGAGGTCCTTAGATATCTCCAGCCCCAAGATTCTGTTTTACGGGAGTGGTATTAAATGAGGTTTTATGGTTGGGTCACGTCACAAGAAAGAAAAAATAAATTAAAAAGTGGAGCGTAAAAAGCAGGAAATAACTATTTAAATAATCGAAAATTTGCGCACTATGGTTAAAAGGATAAATACAATTAATAGGACACAAGAATTTCACAAAAGTGTCTGCAAGTAAGCTATACACCATTATCGACTATATCGAAATTTAGAGATTAAAATAAAACCATGAAATATAGGCTTTTCCTTCATTTTCCAAAAACTCGCGATACCTTCTAATTATGTTTGGACAGATATTGCAGTACGATAAGCCGAACAATAACCACATGTCGCTTAAAAATTAAATTGCATTAAAAATTAGCCTAACTAAAATGAAAGTAATAAACGAAAAACTAAACCAAAACTAAAACTAACCGCAGGAAGCTAACGATTTCCATGTTGGCGGATGCAGTAATAAAAATAACCACGCCTACTAAAATGTACATAGTAGTTATTTAAGTACAGTTGACTAACACTCACGGGCAACTTAACAATTGCCGCAATGTCGTCGTTGAGAACAAGCTCAACAGGCGGATCCTCATATTGGTCCTTTCCACCATAAAAGTTGGACGATTATCGACCTCTGAATGGATCCTACCTAGGATGTCTCAACTACGTGACGTGCTCAATACAAACGTTCTGGGCTAAAATATTTATAGGTAATACGGTCTTTTATTCTACTGAGACGGTGAACAGTATACCCAGCCTGTCGTTCTACCATTATCCATGTTGGATAGTGTTCCCACTCGAATACAAACTGAACCAGGGCACATTGGAATTCAGAGGCCTGAGAGGGCTCTCAGGCGGAGGACATCACTGGCGCTCTGTATGAAACTCCATTAGACATTTACTCTATACAACCAGCTTAAACTATCAGCACAACCATACAGGGCCAATTCAGTAGGGTAATTCTGACGAGGGTGCTCTCCGACACATCGTTTGTCATTCAGGATAGCATGCAGCTTTTCACATCGCATTTCATTGTTTAAAAGAATTGAGTCAGAAGGCAGGCGCCCCTCATCCATTTCTGGATAAGGCCCATTTAAGGGTGTGGATCGCAAACGAGTTGAAAGAATCATCGAAATTCCACCTAAAGACAGAGAGGACGCCGAAGTTTTCATGAGCTATATAGGATGAGGAATTGTGAAAATCGAGGGTTTTTACTTAATGACACCAGCCAAGCAGAGACTGCAGAAGTAGCTGTAGACATCGCAGTCCTTATAGAGGAGAATAGAACAAATTTTATGATTTTTATTAAATAGAGTTGGCTTGCGTAAAAGGCCCCCCTCCTATGCGGGTTCGAATCCC